TCGCAATAGATTTAAAGGGAAAGGATCGCCTCAGGTGTAGGTTGCATTTTCCGATACCTGATCCATCTATTTTGATGATATCGGTGCCGATATTCGATCCAGGTATTGAATCGGCGCATCCCTAATATATTCCATATTTGCTAAACCGATAATTATTGTGTTTATAGCCTGTTAAAAACAGGCGTATGGAGAAACCTCTGTATCACCTGGTAGAGAGTGCGGCCCATATAAGGTGAGTCCTTTGCAGCAGATGGGTTTGATTCCAACCTGCGGCCCACTGCTGCATGTCATTCGCCCACGCTTTCTCCCATCTTTGCTGTCCATCTTCAGCTGTACTGTCAATAAAGGCAAGGCAAGGCAGTTTTATTTGTATAGCACATTTCACGCTCCAGGGCAATTCAAAGTGCTTTACAGAGCAATAGTATATAAAACATGATAAAGGATACAGGAAAGAGTAAAGAGGAAGAAGTCACCATTAAAAGTAGCAGTGCATATGAGGTGCAGAGATGAAAAGATGATTTAAAATTGAGTTTAAAATTCATTTTGGAGTCTTTACAGGGTGGAGTAGGCAGTTTAACAAAGGAAAGTTTTTAGCTTTGACTTAAAAGTGGCCAGAGTCCAGGCTTGTCTAACATCATCTGAGAGGTTAAAGGCAAAAACCTGCCCAAAAAATAATCTCTTTAATAATCACTCACCTTTGTGTTCGCTCTCAGGACCATTTTGCTGAGTGTGATCTCACTGCTGAATGAACCCAACACCTTCTCTCCTGCCAACGTGGACGCCTCCGTCATGTACCGCAAGTGGAGGGACAGCAAGGGCAAGGACCGCGAATATGTCGAGATCATCAGGTAAACAGTCGCTCATTATTATCACTGTCACTTACGAAGAGTAGACCAGATTTAAAGAGCCTCTTTGTCATGAGTCAGTCATCATATATTCTTTGATATCTCCCCCAGGAAACAGGTAGTGGCCACCAAAGCGGAAGCTGAGCGCGACGGTGTGAAGGTGCCCACTACACTGGCCGAGTACTGCGTCCGCACACGCGCCCCGGCCCCCGACGAAGGCTCCGACCTCTTCTATGACTATTACTATGACGACGACGACGTGGAGGGCGAGGACGGCGACTGCTGCTACGATGAGGACGACTCGGGCACGGAGGAGTCGTGACATGCTTTTCCTGACAGCATCCCTCAACCTAGCTGACATACTTCTTGGTCTACAGCCATGAAAGATTTGAAGCTTCCCTCTTCTAAACCAATGAAAAGAGCTGTTTTTTCCTGAGCCTCTGAGTTCTTTTCGGGAGTCGATGCACCGTTGCGGAAGGGTCAGACCTGGTAAAATATTTGCACCAGCACAAAAGTCACCAGTTTCTTCAGTCTTGCAGACATGATCATTTCCATTATCACCTAAAACCTTACATTGAGAACTTAATCCTGTTGAGTCGTCCAGTCCCCTGTACAGTATCTAATATTGTGGGGTTAATACCACTTTTAACAACAGCAACATTTGCACTGGTGCAAACACTTCCAAACTTTGCTCAGCCTCTCTCTTGCATATCTTTATTTCCCTAATTGTAACTGGGTGTTGCTCACCAGTAGTTGGTCTCGCTGACTGACAGAAGATTGAGGACTTCAAGCAGCCTGTTTGTGCCGAACAATCTCCTGCAAATCCATCGTATCAGACATTTACAAGTTTCACGGTCTCGCTTCGGTATGACAGGATGTCACGAGACGATGCTTTCAAAGTTCTTGTGCATGCCAGAACATCATCGGAAGCTTCCTGTCCCTTTTTACCGACGGACTGTTCACCAACATCAATGATCCATTTTCAGCTCGGTGAGAAGACAGACTTGTGTTGAACCCAGAGAACTTTGTATCTGGAGGACCGGCTGCCAAGCTGAGTCAGATCCTCATGTGGACATTTTTGGTAACATGAACTTGCTGTGTTTCTTCTGGTTACTGTTGGATGTGTTTCTCTGTCATTTTGAGTGTGGGGGGTTGTGTTATTTGAAGTAGCTCAGATTTAAGAGTCGTGTAGGGACGTTTTTCCGGGGTTGGGGGAGGGCTGAACTAATTACTGATCAGAATTGTATTTCTCCTCAGGTTTGCTTGCTAAGAGGCCTGATGGAGCCAAAGACGTACAACAGTGTAAAAGAAAGCCCAAAACATTTTCTGACCGTTTGTTGTATCCCTGTCTTTGTTTGCTCTCTGGCAGGCTTTGTTATTTTAGTCTTTCTTTGGTTAGACATTACGCCTGCAGTCTTTTTGCTTGAGAATGATTTATGTGATGAGATTATTAGGTTTGATTAGCAAAAAAAAAAAAAAAGCTTCTGTAGGAAAAGTGTCTGTCAAAAGGTGTTGTTGCAGTATCAGTCAGGAGTCTCAAAGTGTTTCAGCCCTGGAAGTGAAAGAGAACAAGGCCGCTGTGTTTTCATTTCTATCCTTTGTGTCAGCAGAGAGTGGTTTTGCTATGATTTTTAGAGTGCATGGGTCTCCTCTGTGTGTATTTCTGCATCAGCAATATTGATTGTTTAATTTACTCAAATTAGGACTTCATACTGAATTTCTCAGGATAATGAATTACATATGACAAAACAGTTAAGACAAGCAACTCTTTTCCTCTCGCAGGTGGTCTACGGAGTTGGTTTACAGCTTCAGCAGGAACCATAACTGATATGCACATGTAGCTGTATGGATGATCACCGTATTGTTTTATTCACCTGTGTTTATTTTTTATTTTCGGCTATTTAAAACTGAAAAATAAAGATTTATTGGAAAAGAATGCACAGTCTGTTGGTTGCACTTTAAGCATGTCTTTTAGTAACCAAAACATTTATTCACCTTTGATTTTATTTAAACTGTTCGCCTATTTTTATAACGGCTCATGTTTATGAGCTTTTCCTTTTTATACCTCTGCTCCAGCAATAACTGGGGTCGGAGGCATCAGTGTTTTGGTTGTCCATTGGTCCCACTCTTGTGAACGTGATATCCCAAAAACACTTAAAGGGATTTTTTTCAAATTTGGCACAAACGTCCAATTAAATTTCAGTGGTCAAAGGCCAAGGTCATTGTAATCTTGTCTGTCTCATTATATCTCAAGAACACCTTGAGGGAATTTCTTCAAATTTGGGACAAACATCCACTTTGACTCAGCGATGAACTGATTAGATTTTGGTGGTCAAAGGTCACTGTTGCCTCAGAAAACATGTTTTTGGCCATAACCCAAGAATATGCTAATTATGACATTTCACATAGCGTAAAACTTCAGTTAGTAGCCTGGGTTACTAAACGTAAATGTACTTTATTTATATAGCCCTTTACAACAACCCACAGGTGAACCAAAGTGCTTTACAGAATATAACATACAATTAAAACACAGAATAAAAGTATTGCCACACTACTGGGTATTAAAGGCCATCCTGAATAAATAAGTTTTAAGTCTTGATTTAAATACTTAAATCACTGAACTCAACAGGCCTTTATTTGGGACAGGCCTTTAATTCCTTTTACACAAAACTGTTGCTCAGCAAAGATGGGAAATACAATCAAATTGTTTATTTAAACCAGTGTGAATATTACTTGTATAAAAGTTAGGCTTTGATTGACATATTAATTATGTTACGACACTTGTGTTGTGGCACCCGAAGATAACAGCACCCAACATACCAACACAACACCACTTTATCCTGTTAAAACAATGTTCATAAGTGATTATTTTTTTTATTAAAAACACTTTTGATACTTTTGATCAGTGCACCTTTACAGACTAAAGGAATATAAATTACTTCCCGGGTAACTGAGGGATGGACACTACTCTGACTTAATGACAGCTTCATAAGAAGGGAGTCACCATGATTCTTTGCCATGCCGATAAATCTGAATGACTTACAGTCTTCTCTGGTGCTCATGGTTTCAGTAAAATGACACAATATGTAGCATCTCCACATTGATGAAAGTTAAATCATTTATATTTGTATGCAAGATTTAAGCAGCTAACCATACACCCAAAGAACTCTATAAAAATAACTGCTTGGTAACCAGACCAAGCCTCTATTTGAGACAGGTGATTATTTGTCAAAATGTGTAGCTACACCAGGCTGGAAAAGGGGACTGAGCATTAAATTGTGACTAGTCTTTTAATTGAAGTTTAACGATTAATGTGGAGTAGAATAAAATGATACAGTAATGAAATTTTATATCCAAAGCTAAGGGTCTGCAAAAACATGTTTCCATCCATTATTAAACGCCATAACTCGGGCAGACATTTGGTCAGACACTGAATTGGGGACACTAACTTTGAGCATCCACCTTGAAACTTAAGTGCTTGTATAGATCTTATGTGCTGCTGGGCTTAAGATGTGTGTAGCATCCATGTTTTAGAATATGTAGCTTATATGTAACATGGATGTAAACTGGTTCAAGGAGGCAGTAATTCTAGTTAAATGATTGTTTTCCCTGCACAAACTCACTTTTACAGCATTATAATATTCCCTCTTTTGTATGCATGTAATTTGTACCCGTTAAGACAGGTTTGAAAGGTGAATTTACACATTTTCAGCTTTCTTCGTTGGCTGTGTTGCATATTGATAATATGATATTAAGCCTGTTTGTCTATGTCTGTTTTGCTGTATCTGTCTCTCCTCTACAAATATGACCGTGGGTGAAGTTATTGGTTATTTTATGTCTCTGTCAAATGTATGAACCCACAGACAACACAGAAGAGCTGATTCCTCAGTGTATGTGGAGATACGGTGCTGCGTTCATATCTGATCTGTGAAATCCAGCAAAATAGCGATAATTTGAGATAATGAACACATTTTATTTTATTTATTTATTAATTTAAGACACGAAGACATCCTAGAGTTTGCTGGACACATCTACTTTTCATTTGTAGTGAAAGGTCGACATTATTCTTCGAAACAAAGACAACCGTCTTGACGAGAGGGTAGAATTACAATTTTCCCTGTTTCAGTGAATGCAGCACACATCGTCGCCCAGAGATGACGGCAGCCAAACATCACAATTAAAACCCGCCTGGGAGATTATTTAGCTTCACAACAAGCAGTTTTCTAAACAAATATAATAAAGACACGGCAACAACAACAGCCATGTCTGTGAATTATGCTGCCGGACTGTCGCCGTACGCGGACAAAGGTGTTTGCGGACTTCCGGAGGTAAAATACAGCTGCTGTGAGCTAACGTTAGCTAGTTAGCTTCTCAACTGGTAGCAAGTTAGCCCAGGATGCTTTTCCATGGTCGGTCTGTTGGATGTTACTCTAGAAAATGAATCAACGTATGTTTAAATAGCAGTTATTAAATATAAAAATACCCAGTGTCGAGTAGAAGTTGTGTATTCCGGTTTGTATTGGAGAAAAAGTACTGAAATATGAGCCAGCAACATTGAAATAACGTTATGAAATGCTTTACCGTCATTAGTTTTTGTTTAGAAAGGCTCCATTCAGAGTTTTATATTAATTTTAAAACATTACTAATGTGGTAGCAGTGTTGGAGCAGGTTCAAGTGGTTTAACTAACGTTGTTTGTAAATATTTCAGTAATTTATACTCTTGCTTCATATTATGAGCCTACAGGCGCTGCAACTAACAATTGTATTCATAAACTGGATTAATCTATTAATTTTGTGGTCTATATGTGTCAGAGATAAGACAAATAACCACCAAAGTTTCTCAAATGTCTTGTCCAACCAGCACCTCAAACCTCAAAGATATTAAGTTTCTGATGATACAAAATTTACTTACTTTAACTGTAGCATCTCTAGGGCCTATATTGCATGTGTTAAATGTTGTCTGCAAATAAGTTAGTCTCCTACTTTGTGTTGTAATCATATGTTTAACATGCAAGGCTTGCATTGATAAGTAGATTATATGAGAGACACAAACTCGTGTTAAAGACAGTAACTTCAGGAATCCAGAGAAAAGTAAAGGGGCAGTACGTTCATTATTTTACTCTGAAATGCAGTATTAAGATGCATTAAGTGGAAAAATACAAATACATGATAGCTGTACACAGATGGAGTGAATTTATTTTTTCTTTACAGCCAAACATAATGTCACCCTTGCTGTTAAAACTTTGTTATAGACTTTACAACTCTGTCCCCAAAGCTGTTTAGTACTGGAGATAGTGGATTATATTTGATTGTCTTTGAAACTCTCCCAAAGAGTGGTGCAGATTTCCTTTTTATTTTATGATACGTAATTTATTGCAACACTTAAATATTAAATAGTTTACTCACAGCAAAATGCATAACATTAGATCTGCAACATGAGACAAGATATTAATCTGAATTTATGTCATTGTAACACTGAGAACATTTTTTTTATTTTGTAGCACCTAAACTGTCATGATACAATGATTTTGTCTTTATTTGGCTTCAAACTGCATTAAATGAACTTGGACTCTCTCTTCCTGCGTGGCCATCATACCACATTAGACCATATCGCTCGAAAGCATCCTTTCTCAATCCCTCGTCATTTCATTTATTATTGATATTTAGCTACTGTTTTAAAAATGTTGTGATGTCTGATTGTGCCAGTGTTCATCAGCTGTTTTCAAACCTGATGTTTTCTGTTGTGTGGTAGGTGTTCGACAGCCCTGAGGAGCTGAAGGTGAAGGCGGAGACCCTCGCTCAGATGATTAAAGAATCTGAGTACTTGGTCGTCCACTCTGGAGCAGGAATCAGCACCTCAGCAGGCATCCCTGACTTCAGGTGAGGCACAGAGTCACTACAGATCTTTTCCTCCATCGAGCCTTTTCACAAGCACACACTGCTTTTCTCTCCACCATGGTTCGTCTTCACGAACATGATGAGCAGGGCAACAATGACCTCATTTATTCTGTCTAAGTTCAACTTCTTTTTCCAAAGCTCTCCTAATTAACGTGTTACAGGAAGTAGAAAGAAATACAAGCAGTATATAGTGTCATTTATATTGTGTCTGCTGATTTTTAGGACAGTATACCTGTTAATGCTCAAGTGTGCATTTACCTTACATATTTTTTAGGGTTGAAACTAACCATTATTTTCATTATTGATTAATCTGCCCATTATTTTCTCGATGAATCATTTTGTCAATAATATGTCAGAAAATAGTGAAACACTCTCTCTGTAATTTCTCAGAGGCCAAGGTGACGTCTTCAAATTGAGAATTAGTCTGTACATTCGTCTTTAAATTGAAATATGAGATCACAGATTGAACTTGAAGTTTTAGATATTATTTTGTTAATAATAATGCTAACCACTGCCAGTTAATTTTCTGTTACTCGACTAATCTCTGCAGCTCTAATTTTTTTTTTTTTTTTACTGCTAAAGCCAGCCAGGACAAACTCTGTGCAAAGTATTTTCACCTCTTTGCAAAATCTATGCAGGATTTTTGAATTGATTTCAACTTAATGCAGTATCCCAAGTATGCAGCTTATTTTTTTTATACCAAATACTTCGATCTAAAGTCTTTGTGTGAATCTAAAATCTCAAAGTTTGCTATCGTCATGGCGATGGTGAATCACCAGGGCAATCTCATAAAAAAGACAATTTCTAGAAGTGGCTCTGACAGGTAGAGGGCAGACAATTGTGAATTACGGCAGCCATTCTGAAGACAGTCCTATTGCTGTGTGCTGAGGCCAGACGAACAAACAGTTGACCAGAGACTGGAAGGACAAGAGAAGAAAAAGACTCGTAAAGAAGTGTGTCACTGCTGGAAAGATTGTCTTTAAAAAAACTAGACTGTGTATGCAGTAGAAAGAAACAAATACTTCTACCACTACCAGAATGCACTGCACCGCACCAGACTAATAAATGCTCCTGCTGGTGGGTGATGTAATGTTTTGACATAGGAAACAATATGGGGCCAGCTGGTAACAGTAGGCTAATACATTTTGCTGAAAACATTTTAGGTGAGAAAAAGACAACGTAACAGAATCTCGGTTCATATTTGATCAGCACTGCTCAGTTTTTTGTACACTTGGAGAAGGCTTATGACCCCGTCCCATGGGGAGCCTTGTGGGTGGTACTGTGGGAATATGGCGTACTGGAGTCGCTTTTGGTTGGTGTTGGCCTCCACCAGGGTTGTCCCTTGTCTCAGATTCTGTCTGTGATATTCAGAAACAGGATCTCAATTTGCAGCCGGGGGAGGAAGGGGTCCGTTTCGGTGACCTCAGAACTGCATTTCTGCTTTTTGCAGATGATGTGGTTTCGGCTTCATCACACCGTGACCTCCAGCATGCACTGAGGTGGGTGGCAGCTGAGTGTGAAGCGTTTAGGGATGACAATCGTGCTGATTGTCATCCCGAAACGCTTCACACTCGGTTGCCCCCTCTGGATCGGGAGTGAGTTACTGCCCCAAGTTCAAGTATCTCAGGGTCTTGTTCACGAGTGAGGGTAGAATGGAGCGTAAGATGGATCAGCGGTTTGGTGCGGCTTCTGCAGTGATGTGGGCTCTGCGCTGGACTGTTGTCAAAAGGCAAAGCTTTCGATTTACAGATCTGTGTCCCAACCCTCGTCTATGGTCATGAACTTTGGGTAACGACCGAAAGAATGAGATCACAGATACAAGCGGAAAAAATGAGTTCCCTCCGAAGGGTGGCTGCGCTCGGCCTTAGAGACAGGGTGAGGAGCTCGGACATCCAAAGAGATACTGGAGTAGAGCTGCTGCTCCTTCGTGTCAACAGAGGTCAGTTGAGGTGGTTCGTGTATCTGATCAGGATGCCTCCTGGGTGCCTCCCAGTAGATGCACGTCCAAGTAGTAGGAAGCCCCAGGGCAGACCCAGGACACACTGGAGGGATTATATATCTCATCTGGCCTGGGAACGCCTCGGGGTCCCCCAGGAGGAGCTGGAAACTGTTGCTGGGGAGAGGAACGTCTGGAATACTCTGCTCAGCCTGCTGCCCCCACGACCTGACTTCGGATAAGTGGCTAAAAATGGAAGATGCTTAGTTTTACAAATTGATCTCATTTTTTCAGCCTTTGTTTTCACAATACTGGAAACAGTATAGCACCCACTTCCTGTTCACAAACTCTTGCATTACAGCCAAACAATGCTATAAAATATGTTTCTTATGACAGTTTAGGCCAGAAATAGACAACACAGTAACATAATACTGGTTCATATTTGATAAAAACTGCCTAGTTTTACTGTTTGGTCTGAGTTTGAGAAAGAGAGAGGGGTGGCTCTTTCTCTTGATCTGCCTCTATCCTCGTTGTCTCCGTGATGGTGGGCATATGATGATGCACATGTACAATCTGTAGTCGGAGCAACACTGTAGAGCCAGTGAAAATCCCATCCAGCGACTTTGAGCTGAGGATTGAGCGGGGAGATCTGGGTGCTGGTAAGATGGAGGGAAGTTTACCAGACCACTTTGCTCTTATCCTCCTGCTTTCTCTTGTAGTACCACTCAATGAGCAGATGAGGGCGGTACCTGCTTATTTGTCAGATACAGCTCTTTGAAAAACACACACTAAAATATATCCTGGCTAATTCTGTGCTCTTTCCATGTAGTGCAAGAATTTCCTTTGATAGTGTGCAAACACATAAATTGCCCTTATAGCTGAGCTGTGGCACATCAGATTAAAAAAAGAAGAAGAAGAAGAAGAGAAGAAGACATCAGTTGAGTTAGTTCTGGTGTGAATGACAGATATTTCCCTGTGAGATTTCATATATGCATACCTGGAGATGGCTGCTGTGCAGATCAATTAATATTTGATTGGCCTGCCTGTCAGTCAGGTGGAGTCGACCTTGGACAGCAGTATCATTAAAGCCAAGGTTTCTGTGTGTACAGATTATATTCCTACTGCTGCCATCCAAACACACACACACACACACACACACACACACACACACACACACTCGCATGATAAGAAACTCAGCTGCTGTTGTTGATATTATTGACGATATCAGAGCATGCAAATACACCAGCTTCACAGATCCTCTGTGGCTTTCATGTCCTGCAGCATCTTTCTCATGGTGATAAGCATGTAATAAGTGACGTACACACTCTTCCTGTAATGGCGCTCTTTCTTTGAACTGGCCTTGGCGGAGCGGGCGGTGAATGATATTGGTCTTGAAAGGCTGTTGTGGCTGAGTTTGAGGATGCACAGGATGCGTTCCCTCGGCTGATGCATAAAGATAAGTTGTGTATCCTCGAAGTAACTTGGCAACTGTCAGGGTGTTAGACAGCAGCAGGACTGACAGGACCGCCGCGTTCATCCCTCATACGGACACCCACAGCTGACTGGTTGATCAAAGACGCATGGATCAGAGCGAACAACAGATTCATTCAGACATTTCAATCTGAAAACTTGTCACTGTGCGTAGTTTGAAAGATTTCTGTCAAATTAAACTGTTGGCATTTCTGTGAAAATCTCCTCCTGTTTCCTTTTGTAGTGTGAGAGTCTTTGTGTGGTGTCTCTATTGGTTTTTCATATTGGTTTGGACATGCAGCATTTGACAGCATGTTGTCAATTTGGTACAAGAACTTTGCAGAGATCAGATTTTTAAAGTAGTGTGTAAGATTTAAGGGATTTAGTGGCATGTAGAGGTGAGGATTGAAGATTTCAGCCAGCTGAAACTTCTTCAGTGTTCATTGTTCAGCAGGGTCTCTTCCTCTCCAACACTAACAGACCAGTTGACTGTAGTTAAGTCTAATTTAGGGCCATTAGTCGACTAGTCGCCCGCATGTTTACGATGTTAATTTAATTATTGAAGTACAGTACAGGCCAAAAGTTTGGACACACCTTCTCATTCAATGCGTTTTCTTTATTTTCATGACTATTTACATTGTAGATTCTCACTGAAGGCATCAAAACTATGAATGAACACATGTGGAGTTATGTACTTAACAAAAAAAGGTGAAATAACTGAAAACATGTTTTATATTCTAGTTTCTTCAAAATAGCCACCCTTTGCTCTGATTACTGCTTTGCACACTCTTGGCATTCTCTCAATGAGCTTCAAGAGGTAGTCACCTGAAATGGTTTTCCAACAGTCTTGAAGGAGTTCCCAGAGGTGTTTAGCACTTGTTGGCCCCTTTGCCTTCACTCTGCGGTCCAGCTCACCCCAAACCATCTCGATTGGGTTCAGGTCCGGTGACTGTGGAGGCCAGGTCATCTGCCGCAGCACTCCATCACTCTCCTTCTTGGTCAAATAGCCCTTACACAGCCTGGAGGTGTGTTTGGGGTCATTGTCCTGTTGAAAAATAAATGATCGTCCAACTAAACGCAAACCGGATGGGATGGCATGTCGCTGCAGGATGCTGTGGTAGCCATGCTGGTTCAGTGTGCCTTCAATTTTGAATAAATCCCCAACAGTGTCACCAGCAAAACACCCCCACACCATCACACCTCCTCCTCCATGCTTCACAGTGGGAACCAGGCATGTGGAATCCATCCGTTCACCTTTTCTGCGTCTCACAAAGACACGGCGGTTGGAACCAAAGATCTCAAATTTGGACTCATCAGACCAAAGCACAGATTTCCACTGGTCTAATGTCCATTCCTTGTGTTTCTTGGCCCAAACAAATCTCTTCTGCTTGTTGCCTCTCCTTAGCAGTGGTTTCCTAGCAGCTATTTGACCATGAAGGCCTGATTGGCGCAGTCTCCTCTTAACAGTTGTTCTAGAGATGGGTCTGCTGCTAGAACTCTGTGTGGCATTCATCTGGTCTCTGATCTGAGCTGCTGTTAACTTGCAATTTCTAAGGCTGGTGACTCAGATGAACTTATCCTCAGAAGCAGAGGTGACTCTTGGTCTTCCTTTCCTGGGTCGGTCCTCATGTGTGCCAGTTTCGTTGTAGCGCTTGATGGTTTTTGCGACTCCACTTGGGGACACATTTAAAGTTTTTGCAATTTTCCGGACTGACTGACCTTCATTTCTTAAAGTAATGATTGCCGCTCGTTTTTCTTTAGTTAGCTGATTGGTTCTTGCCATAATATGAATTTTAACAGTTGTCCAATAGGGCTGTCGGCTGTGTATTAACCTGACTTCTGCACAACACAACTGATGGTCCCAACCCCATTGATAAAGCAAGAAATTCCACTAATTAACCCTGATAAGGCACACCTGTGAAGTGGAAACCATTTCAGGTGACTACCTCTTGAAGCTCATGGAGAGAATGCCAAGAGTGTGCAAAGCAGTAATCAGAGCAAAGGGTGGCTATTTTGAAGAAACTAGAATATAAAACATGTTTTCAGTTATTCCACCTTTTTTTGTTAAGTACATAACTCCACATGTGTTCATTCATAGTTTTGATGCCTTCAGTGAGAATCTACAATGTAAATAGTCATGAAAATAAAGAAAACGCATTGAATGAGAAGGTGTGTCCAAACTTTTGGCCTGTACTGTATATATTTTGGGCGGGGCAACACAATGGTTTGAGTTGAAGGTGTGAGAAAGAATAGTATCAGTAACATTGTTAACACTGTGCTACATTACAGAGAAATACAAAACCGTACTAATGAACCTTCATTAATATAGGCCTATATTTTATCTACAAGTGCACGTCACACACTGAGCGAGCCGCCTGTTAATGACGCTGTGGGTTAATGGGCATGTAGCTACTTCCATGTTTCAGATGATACATCATGTTTGTAGTCGACCAATGAAGATGAGTTTACATATCACCTTGGGTTCATCCTTCACCTTCTCAAAATGATCCCACACTTTGGATTAATTAGCCTGTGGAATAACCGCAGGTACCAGCCCAGTCATATAGGTTTTGATTTATTTTGACAAGGTACAGCTCCTAATAGAGTTTCACATTTTGTTTTTTTTTTCTGCAACTAAGCAACCAATGAAATCTTGCCGAAAAATGACCTTTCTGGTCGACTAATGTTTGGTCGGCTATTAGGGGGCAGCCCTAGTTTAGTTAAGTTTAGTTTAGTTCATTTCAGTCATTTTCCAGCATAGACCAAATATACACAAGGTATCCAAATTATCTGCAGAGGTGTCTTCCTCTCCAAAACAGACAGACCAGGGGCCTCATTTATAAAAGAGTGCTTAGGATTCATACTAAAAGTTGACGTGTGCCCAAAAGCTGAAAATGGCGTGCGCCAAAAAATAAAATGATTTATAAAACCGTGCGCACGCACGCTTGCACGCAATGTTCTCTTTCTAAATCACCGACCTCCTGGAGTTGTGCGCACCCAGATCCGCCTCATATTCCGCCTCATATTCATGCCATCTTACGCAATTATGCACGAGGGTCAGCGCAGTATTTATATGTTTATGGCAATTAGTCTGATCAGACTCCCGGCCTGAATTACAGCATGAACCAGTGGTATCCCTGTCCCAAAATACAACGTGTAATTTAAAATACAATTCAAAGATGAAAGTGTAATAGGCGAACACGTTTCTTCATGCCGGTTTTGTCATGAACAGCACATGTCTAAGTAGCGCTGATGAAATGAGTGTAACGGTTGTGCTTAATGGCTGTATTTCGAGACATGATATGTGCACTGGAAATATTTAGCTAAATAAATAAATATATTCTATGCAGTCACGCCATCCTCTCCCCCTCCTGCGCTCACAGAGTGGACAATGAGACGTTAGAAGCAGTGCGGATTAAATACGTATTTAGAAAGAATTTCAATTTGGGATTTGAGTTGGATTTTACAACGTTTTTATGAAACAATTATCACTCACTCCAAGTGCAAAATAAGGCTGCTGGATTTAATTTCAATGATAACGTGGATCTAAGGTGGATATAGCGTGACATTAAATTTGAGTGAGACATCAATAAAAATCTGACTCCACTTCTCCACCTCGCTGTCTGCGTCGCCACTTCCCAGTGTCTTCCAAAATGTGCGCACGCATGACTCAGAGTTTGCTTACAGGTGCGCACATTCTCCCACCAAGTTTATTTTTATAAATCACAACCTTAGCATGGAAAGTGGCGTAAGCCACTTTCAAGCCCCATTTTGTGCGTAAGCAAGCTTTATAAATGAGGCCCCTGGTGATTTAAACCAGTAAAAACACTGAGTAAAGCTGTTTCACGTTCAAAAATCAGTGTTTTTTTCAACACTGCTCGTCACAGAGAAGCTGCTGTGCAAAAAACATGAAAGGCCCTATCTTGAGCCAGTGTTTGGTTTGTCTTTTCTGGACCACTGTAGAAACACAGCGGTGAACATGGCGGTCTCAATGGACAAGGACCTGCTACCTATGTAGATATAAACAGCTCATTCTAAGGTAATAAAAGCACAAGGATTCTTATTTTCAGGTAATAATGCGCTCAACAAAATAGACTCATTACATTATATTCCATTTGTGCCAGTATGTCCCCCTAACTCCTACACACTGGACCTTTGATACTCAACCATGAGTGCAAACCCACGCAGACACTTAATGCCTCCAGTCAGCCCTCTGCATTACAATTTGTTCAGTTCTAAATTACAACTACCATCAGTCTTCTCTTCATCACTGTACTCTCCTTCAGGGGTCCGAAGGGTGTGTGGACGTTAGAAGAAAAGGGTGAGTCACCTCACTTTGACACCACATTTGAAGATGCCCGACCCAGCCTGACTCACATGGCCCTCCTGGGACTGCAGAGGGCTGGCTACCTCAAGTATCTCATCAGCCAGAATGTGGACGGCCTACATGTGCGATCAGGCTTCCCCAGGTAATTCTGCTCTGCCTCCCGTCCTATAGCATAATGTATGAACATCATGCATTGTACATACTGAGTAGCTGACTCATATCACAGCTATTGGAAAGCGTGGAGTAATGCATTATCTCAAAGAAAAGCCACATAGAGCCACTAGCACTTACAGCAGTAATAATTGCTGTTTTTCCCACAAATGCGGGCAGTGGAATAAGCTGTAAATACAACACTGTGGGCTAATTTATACTGCACCTTTCATACAAGAAATGCAGCACAAAGTGCTGTACAGTAGGGACATAATAAGCACTGAGTGCTTCACATGTAAATAGACATAATGGACATAAAGCAGACAAGGCAATTCAATATACAAGACACTTAAAGCAGTTTAAAACATGGATTAACTGATTCATAAAATCATAGACTTGTAAAACTAAAAATTACAAAATCAAGTAAGATTTTAAGAGCGTGGAGCGTGAATAGAAAGTTAAAGCGTAAAAAGAGTTTCAGACCTATATCAGGAAGTCAGAGCTAGCTAAAGGCTAAAGTGAACAGATACGCTTTTAGCTCTCTTTTAAAAATATTTAGCGAGCTAGCTTCCCTGATATCTATAGGTAGTGTGCTCCATAGCTTTGGGTCATAATTGACAAAGGCTGCATCACTGATCATCTTCCAACTGTTGCTGGGAACCTCCAATAAACCAGCAGCAGATGGTCGCAGTGTTTTTGGAGGCAAATAGTTAACAAGGGAGTTGGCAATGTAGCTCGGTCCCAGCGCATGTAGAGCTTAAGGAGAAGGAGCTTAAAATCAATTCTAAATGTAACAGGATGTCAGTGCAGAGCAGCTCAGACTGGCCTGATGTGTTCTCTCCTCTTGGTTCTGATTAATAGCTGAGCTGCAGCGTTTTGAAGGAGCTGAAGTCTCTCAGTGGTGTTTTTGGGCGGCAAGTAAAAAGTGTGTTACAGTAGTTGAAGCAGCTTGAACTAAAGGCTTGAATCAATTACTCGGCATCTTTGACATTTAGAAATGGTCATACCTTACCTATGTTTTAAGCAACTCCAGTAATTCTGTTGACCAGATGGTCTATCGACCTCTCAAAAACAGTGAAACTACCCATCATAATTTGTGAGAACACAAGCTTATTTCATCCTTCATCATTCGCCTTGTTGTGTTTGGCAGAAAAACAGTCCAAAACCCGAAGATACTCAGTTTTTCATGTTAAGAAAAAGAAGCCAAAATGTGGTTCTAACTTCTAAAACTTGATTGAAAGATGACTGAATAGTTGCAGGTTAATTTTCTGTTGGTCAAGTTATCGACTTGTCGTTGCAGCTCTACAACATAAATCATCACCTAACAAGTTTTTATGGGAAACAAGTTAGCAAAGAGTTAACTATTTAGCCACCCAGCAGACACAGAGCAACATTGGCATTAATTTGGATTCATGTTTGTGTCCTCCTGATTAAAGTCACAACTCCTGAGAGGAGTATTTGTCTGTTTAGCTGCTCTTCACCAGCTATGCTAACTTTATGACCAGCTATGCTAACTTTATGACGTTTGGTGCCGGTCAGGTCGTGATAGTCTGTTAATAAGAGCTTTTTTTTTTTTTTTAACCTGAAAACAGCTGCATGTTGCTGCTAGAATCAACATTAATAAAAGTGATGAGAGTGAACAAAGACATTAAAGTTGCGGGCCATGAAACCAAAACAATGAGCTGGAAGATGCTAAAACGCAGCGTAGAGCTGGGGGGAACTGCTGAGTGGGAGGATAAGGGGCTGTAATAATAATAATAATAATAATATTTGTGGAGAGCTTTGTAGGTGAGGAGGAGGTTTTTGTAGTGGATGCGGTATTGTACAGGGAGCCAGTGAAGTTGGATGAGAACAGGGGTGATGTGGTCAGATGATTTGGTGCAGGTGATGATCCGGGCGGCCGAGTTCTGAATGATTTGCAATCTGTTGATGAGTTTGGTGGGGAGGCCGGTGAGGAGGGCGTTGCAGTAGTCGATGTGGGATGTGACAAGTGAGTGAACCAGGATTTCAGTGCTGGATTGGGACAGTGATGGGCGGAGTCTGGAGATGTTGCGGAGGTGGAAGAATGCATTCCGGGTGATGTTTTGAATATGAGGTGCAAATGAGAAGGTGCTGTCCACAATGGCGCCGAGGCTCTTGACTTGTGAGGAGAAGGGTGCAGGGAATCCGTCGATGATGATGGGTGGAGCTGGGGTGTGTTGTGACTTGGTGAGGGTGGATTTGGAGCCGATGAGCAGGGCCTCGGTTTTATTGCCGTTTAGCTTCAGGAAGTTCCTGCTCATCCAGCTCCGGATGTCTTCAAGACAGGTGGTGAGGGAGGTGGGAGGGATGGCAGTGGTGGGTTTGAAGGAGATGTAGACCTGTGTGTCGTCGGCATAGCAGTGAAAATGTACCCCATGGTGACGCAGGATTGTGCCCAGGGGGAGGAGGTAGATGATGGACAGAAGTGGACCTGTACACATGCCGCGTCTCAACCGCCTGGAAAATGTGAGGTCAGGAACTGGGCACCAATCTTGTGCCTGCTTTCAGGAGGTGGTGGCAGGTGGCGTCTAAGGTTGCTAAGCAACCTCAACAAGCACCACATCATGGCCTATTTACCTGAATTCCTGAGTGCAGAGCTGATCTTCTTGCAGACGCTGTTTATGTTGCATTTTCTGAACAAGTTAACTTGTTCAGAAAATGCAGTGAAGACTTGACTGTGGAGGAAACTACCACATTATTATTAATTTTAATTTTATTAATATCTGGTATTTTACAAACAGAAATATGTACAACGTTGTAAGTTGTGTGAGATAACCATATTGTTTCACAGCACTCTGTTACATGTTGGGTTTGTTCTGACTCAGTGTTGTTTAAAGATGAAGCTGCTGCTTTGTGATAATGGCCGTAACATCGCCAGCAGTGAGGAACTTTTTAGATACAGCTCAAGTAATGCTTCATGTAATGGAAAATGTTTGGTCTGACTCTCGATTATCCAAAACATTATTGGACTAACCCAGGGCCAAGAATTCAATTTTTCATTCAGCACATACACCCAGAGTTCATGGGTATTGGACGACTTGCTTTCCCTGGAAGCCATTTCTTCCTCTCCCTCCATCAGTCAGGTTCTTTTAGACGAGGCCAGGCAGTGAAATGGTGGCTCTCTGTGGAAGTCACCGAGGTAGCGCATGAACTGGTGAAGTAAACTGGTTGGCACTAATCTGCGAAGATGCAAGGTGGAGCGCAGGAATGAGTATGAGGGCTGGGAATATTTATCAAAGACTGTGAAAATGTTGTGTTGAAGAGTCCTGACATTGACTTTGAAAAAAGATAGTAGAAGTAAATATCATGTAGGGCTGGGCAGTATATTGATTTCGTGATGTGAGACTAGATATCATCTTAGATTTTAAATGTCCTAATAAGGTGTAGGGCCCTGTGATTTCATCAATGCAGAAAACACGGACAGAATTGCGGAAGTTTTGATAATAAAAATGGAATCAGCTGTAAAACGTGGAATATCATGGACATTATCAAAACAGAAGTAGAAGTAATCCCTACAATATTGTTGCTATATTGAGGTATTTGGTTAAAAATATTGTGATATCTGATTTTCTATGTGTCGCCCTAATGCCCTAATGTCATCTTTGTAACCTCTCTGTCTCTGTGGACATTTCTCTCTCTTGATCTATCAGGGATCTGTTATCGGAGCTTCATGGGAACATGTTTGTGGAGGAGTGTGAGAAGTGTGGCAGGTATGTGCGCACTCACACACATGCACTCACCACCCACATTTTGATGTTAAAACTCTGACAATGCCCATCTTCACAAGCTGCTGTCTGTCACTGAGGTCATTTCATTTGGTACACCTGTTTGGTAAGACAAATCATGTGGCAGCAGCACCATGCACAATGTATAAACCATGCTGTGGATCAGGAGGCATGTATCCATGAATCCATCCTGCATGTGTCAAAGGTAAAAGCCGTGGGTGTAATTGTGTTTTCTCTGCGCACGTGAGGCGCATTTACTCCACTTGTGTGTCCTATTTGTTGCTGACCAGCTGCACCACCTCTTTTTCAAATGGAAACTTCCAGCGGGATAATGCTTCCTTTCACAGAGCGCTCATTATCTCCAAACGATTTCAGGAACATGACGGTGACTTCATTTCACTGCAGTGACCTGCACAGCCTCCATATCTCATCCAAATAAATTGCCTTTGAGATGAAGTAGAACAGGAGCATACATGGACATAATGTTTCCAGCAGCTACATCATGCCATTGAGACACTGAGATCCCTTAAGAGCATCACCAACGTGATGTTTAATCTTGAAGAGAGCTGTGTGGAGTCAGAGGTTTTCTTTTCACCGACTCTGTTATCATGTGTTTGTGTATGAGCGCGTGTATGAATGAACCTCAGTGTGCTGCTTCTAGATAGCATTCTGGTATCACTTCATTTAAAGGGGTGTGAATAAGTCCAACATTACACTGTCATGATCCATATGGCATCCTCTTATTATAACAACACTTACAATGACATTTTAATGGCTAGTCCAAATTGTACCACTGTGGCTGAGGTCAAGAAACTTATTCATGATACAGTTATAATGATCTCAAGTCAAAACCAACCACAAGTAAGTTAACACCTCAATGCAATGTTAACACATGAAGCTAGATAGTTTATTTAAGTTTGATAATTAGGCCTGTTAGAGACATTTCTAGCAGGTTCTAGTGTCCTATTATTTTGAGTCACTTTAATGCACCACCTGACCCAGTCTCTCTGGAACCTGTTGAGGGAATCTCTCAAGGTGTGCTGAAGTGTGTGGAGCGTGGAAGATGCCACAGCGTTATAGTCTTTAACTTTATTGTGGCTTCCTATTATAAGTTGCCACCCACAAATGCAATAACGGGAGATATGATAAACTCGCTGCCTTTTTTTTAATTGTTTGATTAAGTCGTTTAATACCCCTGTAATTTGAACATTGTTTTTATAAAGGACTGTTTTATGTGGGGAATGTTTGGGGATTTTTCATGTTTTAAATGCGACAGTCAAGACAATCAATTCATAGCTTCATCCTGCAACTCCCCACACATCCTGCAAATCAATCAACTCTTAAACCAACCAAAGCACCCTGGATCATCAAACAGTGAGTGACATTAAACCAAAGTCAGTGAGTTTATCATATCTCCCGTAATGGCGTCTGTGGGCAGCTATTTTTTTTAACTTATTTGGAAGCTGCAGTAAGGCTGTGACTTGTCATAACAAAGACATTTCATTTAATTATGTATTAAAAATGACATCATTGACTGAATGACACTTAAAACTGGGGTAGGCAAAGGACAAAAAAAATGGCAGAATTTAAAATACACCCTCCCCCTGCAGCTCCCCCCTTTCTGTCCTAAGCCCCACCCACCTGATGAATATGGGCATATGCACATGCTTCATACAATAACCTAGTGTTTCCTTTACATTGATTTATTCAATCTTTTTTCATTGTGGAGCTCTCGACACAAATTAGCTAGTTACCACACCCTGCGATCCCTTGTCCTTACTTCCCATCACTGTGGATTTCTTTGTCAGTGAGAGGGTGGGCAGCTGCTTTGGAGGTGACCTTCTGGCGGCAGCTGTAGCAGCTCAGATACAGCAGTCAAAGCGGGCTTACGGCCAGCAGCAGCAGCCCCAGGTCTAGCCTGTGTAATGGCATCAACAGGGTCACATCAATACATCAATGATATTTCAATGGAATAAATTACTTATTGACTTATTCATACTTCAAAAACAGCATCAATAAGTGATTAACATAGGGGGGATCAAAATAGATTAAACAAATGAAATAAAAATCAACCAAAAATCAACCAGCCACCCTCCTCCCCTGACAAGTAAAGAACAGTCCCTTAAGTGCGGTGAGGTTTGTGGACCGTTACCTGCCACAAAGAGAGAAATGTGTACGGCTCGTTTCTCCTCTGGCACGTCACATACCTGTGTGCCGCCACAGCTCCGCTGTTCAGGTACTTCTGGGCAATCATGACACCAATGAAGAGGAAATTATTGGATCTGGAGCTGGACTTCTAAAAACGCATTATCTTGCGGTGGCCATACTGCTCCGCCATATTCCTGTCTGTGACCCCCGTTCAACCCACAACCGGCAGGATTCGCCTCTCGTTTCTGCTGCTGGTTGAAATCTGTACTCGCACAGCGTGCTCCTGAATGATTTCTTTTGCTCGCACAAAACTATTTTAAGTCGCAAATGCGAGTAAAATGCTCACCATAGAGCTCTGTAGTGGAAAACAAATCACTGTAGCATATATAAACAAATCTAGCCTACAAGTAAAAAGAAATAAATAATAACTTTCACTGCTTAAAGACACTCAGTAGCTCAGCTAATACCTGAAATGTCACTGGAAAACAAACCACTGCAGCAGCATGTTGAGTGCCATGTGGCCAGCGTGCGCTGTTATTGGACGGCGCATGGACACTCACCCTCTTGCGATTGAACTTTGAACTTATCCCACAGTAGTGGTACCGTGAGGTACCGTAGTACGGTACTCCAACGTTATGGTATGTACCGTGGTGTTTTAGTACTGCGGTCTACCATTGGTACCAGTTTACCGTACAACACTACTTTGCAGTGTAGGCAGTTATTGCCAGTGCTGAAATAGCAACTTTCTCTGCAGGATTCTCCACAATTGTTTCAGGCTTTCACTGAAGGGATTTGCATGCACATCTGTATCTGTGGAACAGCCAGTAGGAGCGCCCTCGCCCTGAAATTACCTGTAATTGGCCAAAGACTCCCATCTCAGCCTACATTTTCTAAAAACCGAGTCAAGAGGAGGTGCAGAAGTTCAGTCTTCTTACTGCCTACCTCAGCGTTAATAACAGCAGTCATTAACATTCATAAAGACTCTTTCATGAATATGACCGTGTCATGTCAGTCTTATGCCCACAACTTCACATAAAGCATCACCAGCTTTATCTTTTTTAACTGTAACCGAACTAAAGCTGATGTGGTTGGACAGAGACATAACCTGGAGGAGTTTTGTTTTCAGGCAGTATGTCAGAGACAAAGTGATCGGCGTGATGGGACTGAAACCGACAGGACGTTACTGTGATGTGGTTCGATCCAGAGGACTCAGAGCCTGCAGGTATCACAGGCAGGGGATCACTGCAGTTTGAAATTACCAATAATGTGCCATGATCCCTTTATAAGTATGATGAATGACTGACTGTGTATTCTTAACTTAAACAGAGGAAAGCTGATCAGCACTATACTGGACTGGGAGGATGCTCTTCCTGACAGAGACCTGAACAAAGCAGACGATGCCAGCAGGTGAGAGACAAAAGTGTTAGGTGTGCTTCACTGTCTGCTTTAATGTTTTTAACCATTAGGCTCATGTGTGTTAGCGTCTCTATTCAATCCTTCAGCCACAAAGATCTTTTACTGTGTCTCGACAAAAGAGCAGGGTGAATGAGATGTTTGTGTTTCACCTTGATGTAGCCAGTGACCCATATTAGATGAATAATTACCATCTGAATTACAAAGAGCAGATTTTGAGCTCTGACCAATGTGAAGCGTGCTTATGCACGTACTTACAGAGCTACACTTGAGTCACAGTGCTAAGCATCAGTTTCTCTGAAAGGTAATTACACACCAGTCTTTGAAGAACTCAGCAGGTCATTTCACGACACTGATGGATTTTCTGAAGGTGTTTCCAAGATATTTAAAGACATTCTCAACCAGCCTGATGAAGGAATATTCCCTCTTTTGCAAGATAAAAAATGTATGCATTTCCTGAATTGTGCTGCTTTTTTCTTAGTCTTTGTGAATTCTGGGAATAACTTCAAAACAAGCATAAGTGTTAAAAAAATCTTTGCGGTTTTTCAAATGTTGACAGGTAATTGTTTTTCATAGAAAAGAATGCTTAATGCTGTGGCTCACATCTAACCGACAAGAGGCACAAACTGAGAACGTACTTTGAATCTTTTCCTCAACATGTTCTCCTCACTACCAAATAGGGCTGCACAATGACTCGAATATTCATGTCAGTCGCAATTTGCGCTTCCCACAATTAAATGAACATGATCGATTGCGATACTGACATTTAAATGCGAGCTCTGCTTTTAGAAAACTCTGCTGCTTATCAAGCTTTTCCTAATCCGCTGGGTCCAAAGGACAGAGGGATGGCATATGCTGTGAAGCCCTCTGAGGCAAATTGTTGTTTGTGATATTGGGCTTTATAAATAAAATTGAATTGCATTGAAATTGAATTGAATTAAACAAACAACAATGGCAGCTGTTGTGCTAAGGTGTGTGCGCACACCCTGCAGCAGCAGTCTGTGAAAAACCTTCCTGAATGTTGTGGCTGCAGCCCAGAGTAGGAGAGTAATACAACAACAGATACCAGATGGAAATCAAAGCAAAACTCAAATGTCTGGAGCAGAAGGTGAAGAGCTACTTTTTCGATCCGTTGTCGGGAGTATTTTGGATTTAGAGTGCATGAGACTTGTGCCTGCGCTTTAAAGCAACACAACTCATTTGTTAAAGCACCTAGAAAAGCACCACAAACTGCAGTACGATGAATGCATAAAGGTCAAGAAGAATAATCTCACTAACGTCAGCTCATTGAGTCTCCTCCTGGGGGATCCCAAGGCGTTCCCAGGCCAGATGAGTGTGTTCTGGGTCTGCCCCGGGGCCTCCTACCAATGGGATGTGTCCGAAACACCTTCAATGGGAGGCGCCTAAGAGGCATCCTGATCAGATGCCCGAACCACCTCAACTGACCCCTTTCGATGCGAAGGAGCAGCGGCTCTACTCTGAGCTCCCTCCGGATGTCCGAGCTCCTCACCCTATCTCTAAGGCTGAGCCCAGCCACCCCACAGAGGAAACTCATTTCAACCGCTTGTATCTGCAATCTCATTCTTTCTGTCACTACCCAGAGCTCATGACCATAGGTGAGGGTTGGGACGTAGATAGACCAGTAAATCAAAAGCTTCGCCGTCTGGCTCAGTAAAGCAGTGCTCTGTTGATTAAAATGTAAAAATGCAATAAAAATATTTAGTCCCAATAATCATGTAGCCCTACCACCAAACATTTCTGCCAGCTTTGGAAACTTAGTGAACCCTTTAAGCCCAGACAAGTATGTAGGATGTATGTGACTATTATGTGTGACATGTTTCTCTTCTGTCTGCACCCAGACGAGCAGACCTGGCACTGACGCTCGGCACCTCCATGCAGATCAAACCCAGTGGAGACCTTCCACTTCTCACCAAGCGCAAAGGAGGGAAACTGGCCATTGTCAACCTGCAGGCCACGAAACACGTGAGTCTCATTCATGCACCCCCACCCAACACACATGTATAGAAATACTGTGCACATAATTAAAGGCTAAATTGTGGTTAGAAATATCTGCTCATGTGCCTGTCCGCCATGATCAGATTCCTCATTTCACAGTTGTGATTTCTTGTCTTGCAGGACAAGCATGCCCACCTGCGTATCCATGGTTACGTGGATGATGTAATGAAAGAGGTAATGGAGCTGCTGGGATTGGAAATCCCAAAGTGGGAAGGTCCGACTCTCTGTGAGAGCTCCAAAGTGGCCTCTGAGTCCACCACAGACGTCAAACCACCACGTGCAGTTACGGCAGAGAAAAAGGTGAAAAAGGAGGCGATTAAGGAGGAGAGGAAAAGAGACACAACGGCACTAACAGAGGATGGGGGTGTTATGGAGGAGGCGGTGTCGGTAAAGAGGGAGAGAGCGGAGCCCCCAGTGGAGATAAATGAAGAGAAATAGCCTCAGGTATTTTTTTCCTCACAACAACTTCACAACACAAACCCGTCCAGGAACAAACTTCACAACTGAGGGCGCTCGGTTTGATCAGTTTCAGAGGACAGGGGTTCTTCTCATCTTCACCCTCTGGAGCAAAGACTCTTCAAGTACTGCAGTGGTTTGGTTAAACCCAGATCTCTTACACTCCCCTTGCAGCCACGATAAACAGGGGTGTGAAACTGACTCCTCAGCTGAGGGCTCAAAGGTTGACTAAGCGATAGTGTCCGGGGTAAAAGGATCTACGTGAGGTGGATGTTCAGATGGGAGTGTATCTTTTTAATTACCGATTGAACTACGTGTGTAAAAAGTCGATTTAGCAATACACAACCTGCGATGTAAATGTTCCTGCTGTCATAGTAAGGACATGGTAAAGGGGATCTTTGCATATTATTCAACTTGAGGCTTTATTTTACTAGGAGAACCAGCCTTTAAAGAGCAGCTCTATGATTTTTTAGGTTTTTGTATCATTCTGTATTTTCCCAGTAGTGTTCCTAATGTGTTCAAATCCAAAAATACAAAATTTTGCTGGAAGTACATATGTTTTTGGATCAAATGCTGTTTTCCCAAGCCCTTCTATAAACTTTCATGACCTGACTTAGGTTTCTGCATGGTGACATTGCTACATATGAACTCTCTAGCCCGCCTAATGTGCCTCTTCGGGACTGAGCTAAGTCTTCTTGGACTACGTTTAAACTGCAGGCTAATGTGGCCAAAGTCTGATCTTTTTGCTCATATGTGACTCAGATCAGTTGTTTTTCATAACGCCAGGTTCACACTGGACACAGAAGCACCATGATTTGTTAATAATCACACAGCCCCCCGTCAGCAGTCACCTGGCCATTCACACCAGAGCGGCATTTCTCTGTGCCGATCAGCAAGTGACTCAGCCCCTCTGCTCTGTTTAGATTACATGTATTACCTCTGTTTGCCTCTGGCTCTGTGAGTGTGATTATGTGTGTGCCAGGGTGCTCTGTGCTGTGCCGCGTCCAGTGTGAACAGAAAGGTTAAAATGGGCAGCAAAGGCAAGGGGGCACGGAAAATCGGCACGCTTTGTGGTGCGTCCTCGTGCTGTGTGTGAACAAATCACATGGAATCTCATCTTTTCAATCTGATTTTGGTCTCTTCCATATGTGATCCTGAATCAGAACCCCGAACTGAGTGCCAGAGTCTTGTGGAGAGGCGCTGACAGATGTAGTTAAAACTGTCCCTTTACATCCTGAAATTTTGAATGAAATCTTTTTCAGTGAAGTCATTCACGTCACAATCCCACAACACCTGGTGCTGACGCTGCACCCACACACGCCTACGTACAGAAATAGCAGCCACAGCTTTACAAAAAGCCATGATTTAAAAACCTGGCTGTCTTCCTCCTCGTCCTCATTATCATCTATTCACGAATTTGCTGGCTTCCGCTGCACATCAGCTTATACCTGAAACTGTAATCACTGACTTCAGTGGCCTCCATCTTTACTTCTATACAACAGCACGCTACACGTGACGTCTTTGTTACTATTCTTATGCACATGTGGGTCAGTTCAGGACCGTGACCAGTTCACACTGGAATTTGATATTGGCCACATTTTTAAAAAATTATATGAACAGCCAAATTAAAGATCTGAGCAATAAATCCGAATGAACACCAAGGCTTAAGATGTGAATGTAGTATGTGAGAATTGTTTGTAATTATTGATCTTAAGGCCTTTGCACACTGAGTCAATTTTTTTCATTCATAATTGTCACACGTCTAAAAATAAATACCACCTCACATTGTGTCAATCATGTTTGAGTCTGAAACTATCATCTGCGAACAGGTTCGATTTTCTGCGTTTTTCACATCCATAAGAGCCTTCAGAGACATTTGACCAAGACTCAGTGAAGAAAATGTGGCGGGGGGACACATCAGCAACAACACAGAGGAACAGGGGGCACAGGATAATTTCAAAACTCAGACAGCTCACGTTTAACAGGTCAGACAGTAATATTCAGGTGCATTGAAATTTGATTGAATTGAAATTTTCGCAACGAGTAGAACAATAAAAAGCATCTGAATCAGTGTCCAAGGTGTCTGTGCATAATAATTTTTTTCGGATGACGGACTTGCATCTGAAAAAAAAACAAATTTCAGTGTACAAAGGCCTTTACTCTCCCAGTTTGAAGAGCAGACAGTACGTGCACAGAAGCTAAAATATGTTCTGCTGGATGTCACATTAGTTCAGTTCCTGAAGGTCACACATTAACACAAATGATCAAGGTATTGGTAGACCAGTAACTCTCAGTGTTCAGTGAGGTAAAATTACTGTTTTTGTCAGTGCAGTCTGGTTTTTAAGAAAGCATAGATCAGTTTGAGTTCACCTACCTGCTGGAAAGTGCTGTCTGATGACAAGGTAAAGTGTAGATTATTATAATATAGTATAATATTGTAGATAGCGTACACTTAAACTAATTAATTTCTTTTTTAGGTGGCTAAAACACATTTCACTGCTGCTCCCGTCCACAGCCACCAGACTCCATTGGCAAAACAGTAATTTTACCCTGCAGAACACTGGGAGAACTGGGAGCGTAATAGTACAGGAAAACTATAAATAAATCTTAGTTGAAATACACAATATAATGAATCTCACTATGTATAAGTTTTAATAATAGCACCATCTTTCACCTCCATATACACATGATACAGTCACAACAGGTCACAATGTCAGCGAAAGATGTGTGTGAGGTTTGATGGACGATAGGGCATCAGCACTATAACCTGCGTCACTGCCTTTCCCTAATGACTGAGTCGGCATTTCGGAGTCAACCTTTAATTAATCTCTCAAGACAGATTCTGCAGTTTACATTGTAGAATCTGTCGGCAGCCCTGTGTGAAAGACAACTATGGAGGGGGGGAGGGCGGGGCTTTGAGTTTGAACGATGCTGTGCTTTAGCCAATCACAATGGAGGGGGCGTGGCCGAGACGTGCCGATGTCCCTAGGAAATGTGTACCTACAGGAACAGAAAGCTCTGCGTCCATGGCGACCGCTCCACCCAAAACGCCATCTCATCAACGTGACTTTTTTTTTTTTTTTTTCAGCGGATGTCTTAGTTACAACATGATTGAGCTAACTGGAGTGATTTCATGTCATATCTGACAAAAGGAGACTTTTAACAGATGACGTCCTGATGTTAGCTTTGCTGCTGCTGCTGTTAGCTGTCCCTGTCAGCTGCAGCCACTGCTGCTTTCTAGACATCGTGATTTCCCAAAACTGAATACGTACCACACATAGCAACACAAAACTGCTTTGCTCATTCATGTTGTAACTAAGATATCCGCCGGAAAAAAAAATTTTTTTTCACGGACCGTATATCGAGTTACTGAGATACTACAGACACCGCTAACGGGGCTAACAGCTAAAGGTTAGCCCAGCTAATCTACGATAACCATGTTATTAATTACAAAACATGCACACATAAATAGTAATGTTTGTTCAATCATTGTGTTTATAGACTTTACAAACATCACGTGTACATCACATGTAAACAACAAGGCGATTCCCTGGGGGCACCGCCGGAAGTGAAGGGGGTGAGCGATTCCCCAAGGCCCCTGCACTTCCGTTAGTCGAAAAACTACGGGCAGTGCCTCCAGAGGTAAAGGAAGAAAAAAAAAATCCTTTATTTATTTTATTTTTTTTACTGATGGATTTCCAGATTGACCTTTTACAGACGAGACAAAGAAATGAGATCTGGAGCACATGGTTATATATATACCTTTTTTTTATGATTAACATTTTATTGGCATTTTCAGATAGTGCACGTTACAAGCATATATGTGGCAAAAGTTTGGCTAAATAACCAACAGCATTAATGTTGACACTTAAGTACACTAAAGTATGAAGATATCTACAGTGCATAGTGCCCACAATCCAGCAACAGGATAAACAAAGGAAAGAAACCAAACTGAAATAAACCAGAAAATGATGATGCTTTCCATTCTGAAATAATAAGTTTACGCCCCAGCATCAGTGCAGTCTGTACCCATTTTGCATCATGGGATGGGAGGTCCTCAAGTAGGGATGGGTCTCCCAAGATACATAGCCTCTGGGAGAAAGGCACATCACTCCCTATGATTTTTGTGATATTTTTGTGAATCTCAGACCAGAAATCTTTTATTTTTTGGCAGCTCCACAGCATGTGAGTCAGTGTGCCTTCCCCATTTTGGCATCTCCAGCACTCTGGGCTCTGTATTAACTTGACTTTATGTAGCTTGGAGGGGGTCCAATAGACTCTATTCAGGATCTTGAATTGAACTAGTCTAGTCTTGAGTTCTCTGGACATCTTTTTCAAGTTTTGTAAGATCCCACTCCATTCCCTCTCTGTGAATGATACGTTGAGGTCTGCTTCCCAAGTCTTTCTAAGGGAAGATGCACCTTTGTTTGAGCATTTTAAAAGCATTGAATAATACAATGAGGCTTCATGTCCCTTGCCAAAGATTTTCAGTATTTGTGTGAGGAAGCTTGCAGTAGGGAGAGGTGTTGAAAGAGATCCAAAGGTATGGAGCAACAGGTGTGTGAGCTGTAAATACTTCCAGAACTGCTGCTGGGGCAGATGAAATTATGCCTTAAGATCAGAAAAAGACTTAAACGTGTCCCCCACATATAGGTCCCCAAGGACCAAGACACCCCTCTCAACCCATGATCTCCAGAAGAATGGTGATTTTCCCTATGCAAAGTTTAGGGTTGAGCCATATATCTCTCAGGAGGTAGAGCCCAGTGCAGGTTATATATACCTTTTTAATAGGGTCTGTATAGTTCCCGTACCATTAAAGCTTTTACTAAAAACCACATGCTCCAGATCTCGTCCCCACAGATATATCCTCGAAAGACTTCGTGGGTGGATACTTCATGAGAACATATCAAGTGAGCATCTCCAGCTCTCATACAGCTTGTGGGAATTTTTAGGTCAGCCCTGATCCTAACTGTTAAATTAGCACATTTTCGACAAAATCATCAAAGTGCTTCTCTCACTGTACAAAGGCTTTGTGCTCCTCTGATGAGATGTATAATTCTGCCTGATTGTCTATGTAAATGGAGCAGCTGCTGTCGCTTGACTGTAATGGCACTGTACGTTTCTAGGAAAAGAATTTTATCTCAGGAAAAAGCATTGTACTCTGTTGGGGAAAATGTCACTTAGCGGTTTTATTTTAAACATGTTTTGGCAATAAACGCAAGAAGTTTGCGGTAGAACCTCCTGTGTGTGTACGCTGTATGTTGTGCACCGTCAAACGGCGGTGGCCTCGTTGCAAATGTGATCAAACATGTCAGAGGGAGTGAAGGCGGCTTGCGTAATGGTATGATTCTTTGTGTTTGCCGTGACGATTCAAGCCTCTTTCACACAGAGCGCGATTTTCGCGGCGCCCACCGCGGGGTAGGGCGCAGAGCAAGCGGAGAGCAAGGCGCACAAGACAGGATTTGGGAGAGTACAGGCTCGTTCAGGAGCTACAGCTCCATAGTGATGAGTGGTCTACTTCAGGCTCTTCTCTGCTACTGGACGCGCCAAGGTGTCGTCACAGTGCGTTGCAGTGAAATTAAAAAATGTTCAATTCGAGCGCAGGCTGGCGGGGCGCAGACGCCGCGGTATGCGCCATCTCGCGCGCCGCTCAGCTTGGCGGCAGAGCGGTGCACTCTTGCGCTGCGGTAGCACATACACAATGAATGGGTTCGTCGGCGGAGGTCTGCGCTTTGCGTGCTCTGTGTGAAAAGGGCTTTATTAACATCTCTGAGGGCAACATCTGTACACTTGGGTAGTTATAAAATGTCTGTGACTGGTCATCATAAAACACCTACGACCTCCTCCGTAAGAGCTCTCGCTATGGCAAGAGGACCAAAGAGCCTCTTTCTGATGCTCCATTCAACACAGATCTTGTGTTTCCTTTTTTTTTTTTTTTTTTTTTATAAAAGCAGAAGCATTTACATCAGATGCTATGGCTGTACAGCAGGCCACAGGTGTTTGTAGCGTACTGCAGTAAACATGTTGCTCTGTCTGATCTTGAATAATGTGTCAGTCCACGTGTGTAAGCAACAGAGACAGCTGCAACACAAACACATGCACGATGTCCAGCTGCCTGTTCTGAGAATGGCTCATTACACGGTCCTCATCTCCACTCTGTGTTTATCTAATGTACTCAGCCCCTCTGTTCATGCATTGATGGTGTTGCACACATGATTATGTGACGGCAGCATACTTAAACTACACGTCTTTTCACCATTTAACAGGTTATGAGCTGTGAACTGTTCAGCTAGAGGGATTTTCTTTCTGAGATAGTTTGATTTAAAGGATCTTCACAGGCCTGAAGAGGTGAAAGAATCTAATATTTCACTAGAACAACCACAAAAATAAATAAATATATAAAAATCATTTTGTGCAGCATATATATTTCTCAATCTTTTTGAAGTAATACTTCACCTCCCACATGATCATGTGTATACTAATGTCTCACCCAGTGTTACATTGACAGAAACAAGAAGACATTGTTTTTCTCAAACAAACAGAACACTGGCACTCACGCTACTCCTACTGCTCTACTAAGACAACTGCTAGTAGTAGTAAACTACTAATACTAATAGTAGAACTACAACTAATGCTACTGTTACTACCCATAGTAGTAGTGCTACTACTACTATTTGTACTACTACTGCAACTACTACTGCTATTACTGCTAGTAGACTACTTCTACTACAGGTACTGTTACTAGTAGCACCAGTAGTATGACTACTTCTACTTTTACTACTACTGTTGTTGCTGCTGCTACTACTACTACTACTAGTAGTAGTAGTAGTAGTAGTAGTAGTAGTAGTAGTAGTAGTACAAGTAGTACAAGTAGTTCAACCACCACCACTACTATTATTACTATTACAACTACTTCTATTATTTCTGCTACTATTAATAGTACTGCTACTACAACTACTGTTCTTACTACTACTTTTACTACTGCTAATACTGCTACTGCTATTACAACAACTACTACTACTACTGTTTCTACTACAACTGCATTTTTGACCTCAGTATTTAAACATTTTTGC